ACTTTTATAGAAAAGGAAAGAATTATAATATTATGTATAAAAGAGAAAACAAGAGAAATAAGAGTCCAGCAGTTTCCATCTCACTATCTCTTTGCCCAAGACTAATAAATCCCTATTTTCTCCCGTAATTTTCGTTCTTTTATTTTCTCCATTTCCGGTACTCCTATTTTTCTTCTCTTTCGTTTCATGTTTCTTCTCTTTTCTTTTTCTTATCTATCTTGTATAATCATTTTGGTTTGGATTGTTATTGATTCTTTTGGTTGTTTGCATGTTGTTCCTTTTATTTGTTAATTTGATGATATATCTTTCTGGCTTTCTGCATTGGGTTTTCTGTTGGTTGCACTTTTGTTTTGAATATTATTTTCTATGCAAATCCTTGTTGTATGATTGAACCAGTTGCTGTAATTTGATGCAAAAGAGATTAATTAATCACGATTAGGGCTACCATGCGTAGGGAAATAGTTGTATTTACTTCTACTATATGCAATGGCTGCAAACGGACAAAAAAGCTTGGCTCTGTTTTCCACATCCCCTTCTTTAGCATCACAATGTTTTATTTTTTCTTATCATCTTGTAAGTTGTAACTTGAATAACATTTTGCCAAGAACTGTGAAGCACGAACATTGTGTCAATTGTCAAGGTGGTTTCCAAGTGTTATACACATTGCTGGAATCTAAGGGGTCAAAAAAAAATAGAGATCTCGTGTTCAGATTATATGAAGACGTGCCATGTAAAAATAAAATTAATATAGATTGCAATACGGTAAAGACGCCGCTGGAAAAGTCTAGATGTGACTGGATTCGCACCAGGCTTTTTTGTCACATTTTTCTCATATGGAATCAATAATAAGCAATTTAGTTCTAATTAAAAATCTGAGGTTCAGGTTTTCTAAATTTATAAGTTAATTTTAAAAATTGAAAAACTGTTTCCATAGTAATAAAATCTAGTTGGAAAGTATAAGTTTTACAGTTTTATTGTTTATTATTATATTCAATTTTTTTATTGTTGATTCCTACTGTACCCGTTGCTTAATTTTCTAGAAAATTTCTTTTCACCCTGTTCTTATCATTTTGTATCAGTATGTGTTTACATATCCCTGCTGCTTAGTGTGAGAAAATAATAGAACCTGATTGTTTAGGGAGAACAAATTCTGAATCTTTGATGTATACCGGTATACTATTTAGATTAAAACTTCTTTTCCTTGAGCGTTTATGTCAATTTATTTTAATATTTATTAAACCACCATTGACATCGATTGAGCATTCTTTATTAAAATGAGCTAATAGTATATGTTATTCGAAGTGCATGTCTTGCCATGTTTAATATATACCTCAACTTTGAAGGATTTCCTATTTGCTAAATTCACTACTCTTTTTCTATATCACCTGTGTTCAAGAATGAAACACATTATATATACGTTTACTGCAATTCTGCAATGTGGCCTCAAAAATGACTTTGAGGATTTGCCCATCCCAATTCAAGACTGGACTACTAACTCTGTTGAGTGCATATTCTGTATCTTTTCTGGTTTTCTCATCATGCCATCCTCCCCTTGCCCCTATTCTCCCCTTATAGATGATTGGGATGCGAATATGATAGACTATATATATATATATATATATATATTTAATTGTCTTTCATTTATGGTGAACAGTGTTCATACTTTTTCTATGGCTTAGAGCCTTAGAAGGGAATGCAAATATTTGAAGTTTTAGTGGATTATAATTCAAATTAAATCAATTACACTTGACTCTTTTTTTTTTATAAAAAAAATCAACAATATTTTGAACATACAATTTTTCCTTTTTAAATTTTTTCTGATGTTGATTAAATTGTTTTATGTTTTATTCATCGTGAAGTACGGGTGGAATACAGAATCAAAGAGGCAACAGAAGTTTATTTTTCTTGACTGATTGATTAAGGAATGTGTTCTGTTACTGTTTTCTGAAATGGAAGTTATGGAGAACAAATCTTACCAGAATCCGGCTGAGCTGCTGGTAAAGGAATATTTACTAGCAGATTCCTTCATTCCATACACATCAATTATTTGTGGCATTTGTGCATGCAAGATGGTATGTTTCCTTATCCTTTTTGTGATTTTCTGTTCAGATTGAAAATAATTCATTCGAGTTAGAATGACGATTTGCAGCTGCATGAAGCTAATTTTTTTTTATGTTTTTCTATGATGATTACATTAAATTGGGCTTTAGTTTCTTTTCAGTTTTCACTGTTTCTGTAAAGCCTTTTTTTATTTCTTTATTTCTCTTTTACTAACTTTTCCTAGTTTACCTGGTACCAGGTCTATGATCTTACTCAATTATTTAGCAGTGTTTACTTTAAGAGCTATCCTAGTTTATCAAAAGTCCAACGCACTGAGTGGAGCAACCGGTGACATATATTTGTAGTTAGCTTGAATTTTCTATTACGATATGCTTTTATCTATATAGAATTAATGTCTTGATCATTCATGCAGGTCCATATCAACCTTAAATGCAATTTTCATTACAGCTATGTCCTTATACTTTGTGTTTTGGTCAAATCTCTATTCTGACAACTAATATGCTGGTCTGGTTACTTTCCGCAGTTCTGCACTGTCTACATTCAGTTTGGGGGTGAGGATCTTTTTTCTTTTCTATTCTTTTCTTTTCATCTTCAATGGAAACTTTTGGAATTGAGATAATATTTGGCCATTTATGTCTGGTATTTAAGTTTGACTTATAAATTGGATATTAGTAAGAATATGATCTGTCTGCCGTAGTGACATGTAATCGTAATCGTTTTAGTCATGCAGTATGATACATATATGTCTCCTGAATGGTTTATTTTTAGCATATTTACTGTATCCTATAGAAAAAACAATGATGTGCTAAGTTTCTTTATTGAATATTTAAATTTCCAGTGAAAGAAAAGTTTTACTTGATAAATTCAAATGATGCGGGTGATACTACCACTGATTCAACAAACTTTGCTGAATCACTGTTGGTTTCTAATGCTGAAATTGACCTTGTGTTTTCTAGGGACAACAATGAAGAGTACTATCATATGTTTATCTACGTAACATGCATATCCTTTGTCTTGCCTGCAAGTGCAATTTTTGTTTTAATGTGGCTAATGTTCTCAGCCGGTTGGTTTTTCTAGCCCCAAAGGAATATAATATATCTCCTTAGCCAAAACTCTTGTTTTCTTGCAACGCAAGCAACATAATTGTGGTGCAAAATTGTGCACGAATGTTAACATCTTCTGCAATTTTTGAACAAACTGAATATTTTAGGTTAATACAAGCATTTCTTGAACTCAAGGTCAAACTTTTCATTGAAACTTTACAGTAAGCTGGGTTAAATTTTCTTAGGGATTTGTTAGGATTGGTTCAAATGATTATAGGATTGGTTCAAATGATTACAGTAAGCTGGGTTCATTGAAACTTTACAGTTCACACGAGCAGGACCCATTTATTATTTGTGAAAGTCATATACTTGTGAATATGATTAACCGTGCCATGCAAAGTAATGGATTGAAAAGTGGAGGGGAGTCAGACCTGGGTTCAATTCACCTCTGATGTGAAGACTAGTAAAAATAAATGTCCCATGTCGCACGTAGCTAGCATATAGCAAACATTTTAACCCTGATTGGGATTATGCTATTAAAAGCTCAGTCTCGTACACTATCAATGTAAAATCTCATCCTGTGTCTCTGGGATCTTTAATGGTCATGTGGCATGGTCTGCTTACTGATGCAACTTTATATCCTCCTAATAATTTAGTGGATGTCTGGTGTTGGGTTAAGTCAATGCATACCAGTTTTACTTGAAGTTGATCAATGGTTTGGCTATTATGTTTCTTGAATCATCTAGCAGTTGGTGTTAAAAGGTGAATTTAGTTAGGTCCCTGTGCTTGGAGAATGTCAAAGTGGAACAGCTGAGCTTATGAGCCCTTGTCTTAAATAAATAATGATAAGGGCTTATGTGAATCTTATCAAAAAAAAAAGATAAGGGCTTATGTGAAAAATATGGAAAAGTAATTTTTTTTAGTATGTTAGCCTTTTAATATTGCAGAACAATGAGCTATCAAATGAATGTTAAATTAATTAATAAATACGATTAGAGAAGCTTTAAATGTCACGGAATTATTCACCAACCACAGACCAAGTAACACACTGCCCATCGAGTTGGTTTTTTACTGTGTCTGGAAACTAGTTGTAGCACTCTTGTTTGTGCAAGAGGGAAATATATTTTTGTGAATTCATCTTGCTGACTCTGTTTATACCTTTCGAGAATTTTTTTGACAGGTATCGGTTGGTTACTTTCTTGCTGACTTGGGGATGATCATTTGGTTTTACCCTTCTCTAGATGGAATGGAATATGTAGGTATTTTACTGTTTGATCATAGTCTTGCCCTGCTTTTCATCTTCATATTGAAGTATAGTTAGTGAGCCTGATGGAAAGCAACAAACTTTTTGTTATTCAGGTCCTTCATCATCTTCTGTCACTAACAGCTGTAGCATATTCTATGTTGACTGGGGAGGGGCAACTTTATACCTTCATGGTACTCATCTCTGAGACTACAACTCCTGGGATCAACTTGAGATGGTAAAAAATAGATTCCTCCTATGTCAATTGTAAAATGCATTTTACTTTATGTTACAAATATTCTGGGTTCATATAGGTATCTTGACACAGTTGGAATGAAGAGAACCAGAGCTTACTTGATCAATGGAGTTGTAATATTTGTTGCATGGCTGGTTAGTGAAATCAGTTTATTGCTGTCGAATTTTTTCCTTTACTGTGCATTACGTCCTTTCCACCAATTATCATGCAGTCTCGTATAATAGTCTTTGATGGTTTTGCCAGGTTGCTAGAATATTCCTGTTTATATATCTATTTTACCACATCTACTTGCATTACGATCAGGTAAACATTTCGTGCAAAACTTTATCTGTTGTGGTACAAAGAGCAGGTGTTGCATTCAGTAAGAGAAATTATCGTCAAAATGTCCACGTGGTGTCTTTGCTCTGACGATGGATTAAATTATCGTTGGGAGGCTATCAGTTCGAACTTGCCGTCCAAACTCGATGATGACCCAAAAGGCCCTCCTATTGCAAAACACCCTTCCATGTTCAATCTCCTAAATGAAGGTAATAATTAATCGTTGAAAGTTTGTGGCGCTAAAATTTTTTTACTATAAAATTTCATAGATCGCATGCATGTAGGATGTTCAAAGCTTATTGAGAACGATGATAGAGGACTTGATAAATACCCGATGTTTAGAACCGAATTTGGTAACTCTGTGGCGTTGAAAGAATCTTCAATAGCAAAAGCAATATCTATCCTCAATAAAGAAGACGTTACCTCTACTGTTACTCCAAGTAAACCTTTATATCATCTATTTAATTTTTTTAATGTTTGATTATGTTTCCAAGCCACCTCCAATCAAGTTTCATATTTTAGGTGGAAGGTCATTATATGTTTCAAGTGAAGCACTGAATAGCGCATGGAGTCTTCTTGGTGAACCGGAGGTAGGGGATTTATTTGGTGAAATGGATGAAGAGTTTCTCCATATAGAGTTTTCACAGAGGAAAAACTTAACGATGCGTCGTCAAACAAGGAAAACAGCTTTTTTACGTCCTTTCCCCACGAAGGAGCAATGAAAACGAAATTCTAGTGAACAATATTAAGACTGTTTATGCATAACTTTAATGTTGGAGTGGATTTTAATGTATTTTGTTGTTATGCATAATGTGTGCCTTAATTAAAATATATGGTTGTTGTTAATTACATTAAGCGTTATGATAGTAAATTAAGTTTATTAAGTTTATGTAGAGAAGAAATGAAATATTTAAAATCAAGTAATCTTATATAAATAAAGGTAATTAGCGGCGTTTGTATAAAAAACGTCGTCATAGACCTAACTTTTGCGGCGTTTGTATCAAAAAACGCCGCCATAGATCTAACTTTTGCGACGTTTGTATCAAAAAATACCACAATATGTTCATCTATATTGGCGTTTTTTCAATAAATGTCATTTCAAGGATAATGATTTAGCGGCGGTTTTATATAAACATCGCAATATAATAGAATTTTAGTGGCATTGTTATTAAAATGCCGCTATAGAGGGTTACTTTAGTGGCATTGTAAAACAAAAACGCCGCTAAATATTTGGACATTAGTGGCGTTTTTATATAAACGCGTCAATAGATTTAATATTTAGTGGCGTTTTTTGAAAAACGCCGCAAATAATAGTGAAAAAGTGGCGTTTTTGAAAACAAACGCTGCGCATTTTAATAGAGGCTATAGCAGCGTTTGAATTGCAAATGCCGCGACTTTCTATAAAACCCCCAAATTTTGCGACTGAGCCCTAGCCCTATTCTCTTCATCGTATTATTCCCCAGTCAGTTGCTCTGTTTCCTCCATCAACCCTCACATCGGTTCTCCACCATCGACGACAGTAAAAAAGGTAAGAACATCTTCCTCCACCATCGACCTTTTGGCTCTTATTTCTTTATATCTCCGCGTTATTCCTCCTTTGGTTTGATTTCTTTGCAACATTTCGTCTTGAAGTCTTTTTTTAGAATTTAGTAAAAGGTTTAGATCTGGAAGAGAATGATTAAAAATCCTTTGATAATAGGAAGTGGCAGACTAGTGCCCCTATCCCATGAAACTAGGAAAAATTACAGAAAGATATTCACATGCATGGCTACTGGGAGGAAATTAACAAGGAAGAATACTGATTCGACGCGTCTTAGGAGAATAAAAAAGAAGGATTCGGTGCTAGTTCATTCCAAAAATCTCAACCAACATATATATATATATATATATATATATATATATATATATGAATGTGCATAAGATTTTATGTTAAGAAAATTTATAAAATTTTAGGGGTGAAATAGATTATTAATAGAAAATTTTAAAAATTAAAATATAAAAATATTTAAAATTTGTAGAGGAGATGATTGCCCCTCCTACCTCGTCCTGATGACGTATGTAACTCAAACTCAACGTAAATGATAGTGCCATGACCATGAGTCTTGTTCGTAGTTTACTCTGGAAGAACAAGTCAATTAAAAGGAAGAAGGAAGGAAACCCCCCCCCCCCATTCATTAAACATTTATGAGTTACTTGTACTCATTGACCCCGTGGTTACCACGTAACTTCTCAGCAACTTGTTTACATTTCCTTTGTGGAATTCATCAAAATATACCATTGAAATTTGCAATTTTTATAAAAAAAATACTATATCGTATATTGAAATTTAATTATTTTGTCCAAACAACTGATCTCATTTTAAAATTAATCGGCTTATTCTCATTTGATCATCTCCCATAATGTTTGACCTATTTGGATCCAAACCAGATACAAATCAATCAATTCCCATCGCTATAAACAAGCCATTTTCCTTTGGCTCTCACCCGAAGATTACAAGGACCCTAATCTAAATTTATAGTAACAACAAAAAGCTGCCCAGAAGTATGCAAAAACTGACTGAACAGAGTTGCTCAAGGTAATGTTAGTTGATGACAACTTTTTCCCGTTTAAAGATTCTGCATATTTTGTGCTGCCATGAATGGTGAAGTGAGATGTATAAATCATGGAGAGTTCCATGTTTGCAAATATAAATATACAAATGATTCACATCAAACGACTGTTGAATGTTTAAGGTTTCTATATGAATCACCTTAGATAATATATTTTAGTGTTTATCCATCCCTTTTTGCTCAATTGAATTTACATAATTGCGAATCTTTTATGCAAGGATGATCTGATATTCCTGACTTGTTAAACTAACAATGACTTTCTTTAACCTTAACAATAACAACAATCTAACTAATGCCCCACCTTATTTATATTGCTTTTCTCTAGAGCAGAAGATCTTTGCAAGGCGTGATTTGAAGCTATTGCTTTAGCTGCGAAAGTTGTTAAAACTCATGAGGTTTGTTTTCTACACGCCTCAATTTCCATTTCTTCCTTTTTTCTTGCTATAACTCCTAACCATGACTTTCTCTTGCACTATTTGAAGCTTGCATTGTAGTTTATCTTTCACTACGACTGGAGGAGACAATATCCATTTTTCTTTGTTGGTTTGGGAAGGACCCTGTAGTCTAGTGTTTTCTATGGTAAAGTATTTACTTTGATTATGTATAATGCTTAAGATTTCATCTCTATTATGGTGCATTTCACTCGTGTATTCTCTTATTCTGTCCATACCAGAGTACCTAAATGCATACTAGAACTTCTGCATGTTTACTACTTGTGTGATTTTCAAAAATTCAACTCAACTATTATTTAAAGCTCCATTGATTGTTGTGCTCTGGCATTGGATAATTCAATTTTTGCCATACCCCAAAGTTGCTTAAACAAGACTACTTTAAGTTATCGTTATCTTCCCTTCTTAGCAATATTTATCATCATTGAGTAATTCTTTTCTTCTTTTTTTCCAGCATGATTTGTTCTGCCGGTGAAGAGTGAAGACAGTTTCATCATTTTTGACAATAGGTATTTTCTTTTCCTGAAAATTTATTGTTTGGTTCGAGTTAGGATTTACTACCGGAAAAAAGTTAGATGAACCGAAGCCTTTTGGGATTACTTATATTGTTTTAAGCTGAATTCATGATTCAAGATGATGAGTTATTCAATATATATATATATATATAATTGATAGGAAAATTGTAGCACATAACATTACAGAACAGCGACAAGGGTAGACATTGCTCGATCTAGAATAGGTTAAGGTTCGTAGGGATGCTCATTGTTCGGACTTAATATAATTTATAAATCAAAGGCTTAATATAAGATTAAGAATTCAAACTATACCTTTTCTTAATTAGTTGCCTAAATTATATTTCGGTCAATATATATATATAATGTTAGAAGAACATTCATTAATCTAATTCAATCAGAGTAGTTAGTATCATTAATAATAAACGTAATATTAAAAATATCATGCACATCTATTTTGTTTTACTTCTTATAGTAGTTTTCTACTTCTATATACGCATAATTTGAAAACCCTATTACTTTGCTTTGCATGCATGACACTAAATAATAGAATAACTAGTACATGATATATTAGATGCATACTGTTGAGTTAATCAATCGACGGAATCGGCCAAGAGGGGGTGAATTGGCAATTAAAAAATTGTGGAAGCTTTTGCAGAAAATTGAAAGTAATTGCACAGCGATTTAGAGTGGTTCGACTTTATCAACCAAAGTCTACGTCCACTACCTTAGCTATCCACACTAAGGATTTTCCAACAAATTCACTAATTTGTTCTTTCTTTTGAGGTCAAAGAGATAACCTTACAACTCCCTCAAGAATATACCCCAATTCTTGAGAACACTCTTTTCTCAAAGAGAAGATTACAAATTTGCAAACTTACAAGAAAAATCTCACAAGACAAATATGTTTGCACAATTATAGAACAAAGAAAGAACACTCAAGAATAAATACGATTGAGCACAATAAGTGTTCTTGAAAGCAAAATGAATATTGAATGAAAAATAGGCTTGAAATGGTCAAACTTGAGGTTTGATGCTTTCTCTTTGATTCTCTCTTGATTCTAGTTGCTTGATGTTTCTTATTGTTGATCAATGGCTTCTAAGCTTGCTTCAATACACATTGAATCACTTCTGAACGTTGGGGATCATTAATGAAGTTATTGTAGCCGTTTAAGTGTGAAAACAATAAATATTTCTGCTTGGAGCGTGGGGGGAATCGGTTCCCTAAGTGTAAAATTCAAATATTTCGACCGTTGAACAGTGGGGGGAATCGGTACCCCTGGGGGGAATCGGTTCCCTTTGAGCATACTGGAATTCTCGGAGCCAAACCATTTGGGGGGAATTGATACCCCCTTGGGGGGGGGAATCGGGTCTCTCTGAGCAATCTGGAATTTTTGGCTTTGAAATGGTTCGAAATATTTTGTAAAATCTTTTTGAAATTATTTTTAAGATTAAAACTTATTTTTACGCTTGAGTAAGGATTTAAAATGAACTTTGAAATACTTTGAGTAATATTTTGATATTCGATTTAATATATCGAATATGCTTAGAAAAATCATTTTCAAAATTAAAATTCTTTTAATTTAATTTGTTATATCGAAACATCAAAATGTTTTCAACAATCTCCCCCTTTTTGATATAACAAAACATTTTAAGATTTTCTAATTTTCAAAATGAATTTTGATTTTGAAAAATACTACTCCCCCTTACTTTAACACTATTCCTCTACAAAAACGCTTTTATATTTTATCTCCCCTTTTTTGTTAAATCAAAAAGACTCGTAAAAGATTTTAAACAAGGTTTTGAAATCATTTAGCCAATTGATTATATATATATAAAGCTTAAACTGCTAAGAACACAATCAAAAGAGAGGTTAGCCATTAGTTTCATAATCAATATTCATAAACATGTAATGGATAATTGGTCATATATATATCTAAAGATGCAAAATAAACACGAAATCCAAATCAAATGTATTAAACATAAGTTCGAAC